ATTGGGGGGGCGGCCGGGAATTGACGGAGTCATTACATCAGCACCGCCCCCCGCACCCAGCCCGCCGTTGGTTTGGCGGGCCTTCGCGCTTGTCCCCCCCCGCGTAGAGCGGGGGGGGGGGGAGGGCCCCCCTTTTACTGGGGGGCCCCCTTCCCTTTGGGCGTGAGAGGCGGCCCCCGCCTCCCCCCCCCACCTCCCGGGGGGGGAGGGCCCGCCGGGATTCCCAGCCCGCCGAGCCCCGGCCATCCCCCCCCCCCCCCCCGGTGTTGTTGGGGGGGAGAGCCGTCACACGTCGCCTAGCGTGGCGACTCCACCGCCGAAAAGCAGAATATTCTTGTGTGCATCTACACTGAATTGTGCGAAACTGAAATGTGCGAAACTGAACTGTGCGAAACTGAACTGTGCGACACTGAACTGTGCGACACTGAGCTGTGCGACACTGAGCTGTGCGACACTGAGCTGTGCGACACTGAACTGTGCGACACTGAACTGTGCGTAAAAGAATTGTCCAATTGAACAAACGCTGATTTAGAAAGATTTATTATTTATATAAATTAGCAAAATTTTCAAACAGGGCTCTACATGCATACGCGTGTGTCTGTGTGTTTTAAATTATATTTCGATAACCTGTGTCCAAAAGCAACGGTGTCCAATTTTACGATGCGCAAAAGAACTGTGTCCAAATGAACGGTGCGCAAAAGAACTGTGCGCAAAAGAACTGTGCGCAACATTATGTGTCCAATAGCACTGTGTGCAATTGCATCGTGTCCAATTGTACTGTGCGCAATTGAGCCTCTCCCCATTCACGAGGCCGACTCTCGATCAATAATATCGAACCGCGCAAGTGAATTAAAGACTTTTCATCCACCGTTAGTTCATAGACTGCTCAACTGTAAGCATATTACTCTTATTAAACTGTGACACGATATTTTACTCAAACGATCCGAGTTACGATCACGTGATATTTCACCCTCTCACGCGTGCATTCGTTCCCTGAGCCTCTCACCGCTAAGTCCTCTCACCCTGCTTCCATCCGCAGCGGTAACCAGCGAACTCTCTTAGCGAGAATCGCTAACAGTTACAAACACCCGAATACGCGCGGATTCGTGAGAACAATATTCGGAGCTATATTCGGTATCAATTATTTGCGTTAACATTCCCGCCCGCCTCGGTGACGGCAGGTCGGCGCCGAAAGAATATTGCGATATGCTGTACGGTAACTTAAATCTAGAGAATGAAACAACTTAAATCTAGAGAAGGAAACAACTTAAATCTAGAGAATGAAGCAACTTAAATCTACGAGGTAACAATGGGTTAAGAGTCTGTCGATTGTGCTGGCACGTTCACGGAATCGACCGGCAGCGGACACAGCTTCACGATCGGACGCTTCAGCGTTGTGTTGCTGGTCCTTATGGTAGCCACGCGAATCAAGGCGTCCTGTCCTGGATGCACCTCGATCACCCTCGCGAGCGGCCATTTCGAGGGCGGGTAGCGCTCGTCTGTAAGAAGCACGAGCGTGCCTACGCGTATCCGGTCGGACGAAACTTTCCACTTCGCGAGAGCCTGCAATCGCTGCAGGTATTCCGTGGACCAACGGCGCCACAGATGGTCGAGCATCTGCCGGAAATGCTGCCAGCGTGAGAGTCGCGACACCGCGACATCGGTAAGCGACGGTTCCGGTACCGACGAAAACGGGCCTCCGACGAGGAAATGCGCTGGTGTAAGTGCCTCGACGTCGGCGGGATCGTCGGAGAGTGGACAGAGCGGCCGTGAATTCAGCACCTCCTCGACTTGTGTGAGGAGAGTAGTGAACTCCTCGTAGGTGAGGAGAGTGTCACCTATCACTCGCCGGAGATGGTGCTTTACCGATTTCACGGCAGCCTCCCACTTGCCTCCGAAATGAGGCGCTCCCGCCGGGTTAAACGACCACTGAGTTCCGTCCGACGCGAGAGCGTGAGAGGTAGCGGCAAATTCGGCAGATGCGACATCGAAGAGGCGGCGAAGCTCGGCGTCAGCTCCGCTAAAGTTTGTCCCGCGATCGCTCACGAGACGCGAACAGAGTCCGCGGCGACTTACAAAACGACGATACGCGGCAGGAACCCCTGTGTGCTGTAGTCCGTAGCAAGCTCGAGGTGTACGGCGGACGTCGCAAAGCACACGAACACCACGAGGAACCCTTTATACGTGCGCGCGGCCCGTGCACGCCACGTTTTGATTGAGAACGGGCCCGCGTAATCCACGCCCGATGTTAGAAACGGTCGCGCAGGGGTGACTCGAGTGGGCGGCAGCTGACCCATCAGCTGCGTTGCTGTGGAGGCGCGATACCGGGCGCAGCGGACGCATCGGCGAACGAATGACGCGATCAGTGCGCAGCCGCCCACGATCCAATATCGCTGTCGAATTGTAGCGAGCATCGATTGGACACCGCCGTGGAGCGTTCGACGGTGCACGTCATCTAGAATCAAGCGCGTTAAATGAGAGTCCCGCGGTAGCAACACGGGATGTTTCGCGTCAGGGTCGAGGAGAGCGTTCCGAAGACGGCCCCCGACGCGGAGAACGCAGTTTCCGTCCACAAACGGCGACAGACGGAGAAGCGGATGCGATCGCGGCAGCGCATCGCCCCGCGAGAGCACAGGAATCTCCGTGTGGAACGCGGTATGCTGTTCCAGCGTGATCCAGAGCTGCTCCGCTCTGGCAAGATCCGCTGGACCGAGGTCGTGGTGCGTTGGCGGCCGGCGGCGTAACCGGTCGACTGCACGCTGGATCCATGCGGTGATGCGGATAAGTCGGCGGAGCGAGGAGTACCTCGCAGCGAGGTCCCACGTGGAGTCCACGGCAGCGGCAGCAGCAAGGTGAGTTCGGCGCGGACGAGCCTCCAGGTCGGTGTCCACGTCGAAGCGAAGGGCGCTCGACGGCCACGTGGTAGATGGCCCCGAAAGCCAGTCCGGCCCACGCCACCACGCTCCGTGAGCGGCGAGAAGTTGCGGAGAGAGTCTCCGCGATGCGCAATCCGCGGGGTTCTCGGCACCGGAGACGTGGTGCCAATGTGCGCGCGGCAGCAACTCATGGGCGAGAGCGACGCGGTTTGCAACGTACTCCTTCCATTGCGCGGGCGAACCTCTGAGCCAGGTGAGCGCGACACTGGAGTCCACCCACAGGTGAACTGGAGCGGTTTCGAGATTGAGCACGGCGCTCACGCGTCGCACCAATCGAACGAGCAGCACGGCAGCCGAGAGCTCGAGTCGCGGAATTGTCTGTTTCGCGAGCGGTGCGACCTTGCTCTTTGCGGCGAGCAGGTTGACGCGCACTTCGTCGAACTCCGCGAGGACACGAATGTAAACGCGAATGTAAACCACGGCAGCGAGCGCCTCCTGAGAGGCGTCTGAGAATCCGTGGATTTCGATGCCAAGAATTGACCTGGTAACTCCGATCCATCGCGGTACCGACAGCGACGGAACGGAAGCGAGCGATAAGTCGAAACCCTCGAATTCAGAAGCGAGACGCGGCGGCAGCGGATCGTCCCAATCGAGCGTCTCCGTCCAAAGTCTTTGCATAAAGATTTTTGCCGTGATCACTACCGGCGCGATCCACCCGAGAGGGTCGAAGATCCGAGCGATTCAAGAGAGCACTACGCGTTTCGTAAGCGGACATCCCGAGAGAGCCGGGCGTAGACGGAACACGAACGCGTCCTGGCGCGGATGCCAAGTGAGTCCGAGAGCGCGGGCGACAACGTCGTCGCCGAGTTCACGCGGAAGAGGCTCACCGTGCTGAGATGTCGGGATGTCGGCAAGCACGTCATCACAGTTGGCCACCCACTTGTGCAATGGAAAGCCGCCCGCCATGAGCAACTGATTCACGGCGCGTGCCTTTTCTTGAGCGAGCTGTACCGTGTCGCCTCCAGAGAGAACGTCGTCGACGTACATCCCCTCGTTCACGGTGTCGGCAGCGTTAGGGAATCGCCTTGCCTCGTCCTGAACGACCTGTCGAATGACCCGCTGGGCGAGGAAGAGCGCACACGCGAGACCGTAAGTCACGGTAGTGAGCTCGTATTCGTCCGGTGCTCCATCGCGGCTCCACAAGATCCTCTGGAATCGGCGGGCCATCGGATGCACCAGAACCTGACGGTACATTTTCTGAATGTCCGCCAGGAACACGAACTGGTGCCGTCGCCATCGCAGAATGACATCAGCGAGGTCTGGCTGCAGTTTCGGACCGACATGGAGGCAGTCATTCAGCGAGACTCCAGACGTGGCGCGCATCGAACCGTTGAATACGACGCGGATCTTGCTGGGTGTCGACCCAGCTCGAATGACGCCGTAATGCGGCAGGAAGAAACTCGCGGTAGCACTGTCCGTCGCGGGAGTACGCTGCATGTGCCCGAGTGTCTCATACTCGAGCATGAACTCCGAGTAGAGGTCGGCAAGCGAGCTGTCGGAAACGAAACGCCGCTGCATCGCGCTGTTCATCTTCAGTGCTGCAGCGCGCGAGTCTCCAAGCGATTCTGGCGATGTGCGGAACGGCAGCCGCACAACGTACCGTCCGGAAGGAGTTCGCGAATGCGTGGATGCGAATTGCTGTTCGCAGTCCTCCTCTTCCGGCGTCAGGCACGGCAGCGATGACGGCAAGACCTCTTCTTGCTTCCAGAAGCGAGAGAGGAGCTCCGCGAGATCGTGATCGGGCGTCGCGCTGAACGAGCGTCGAGCAGGCGCGACTGTCCGACGCTGAGCTGACTCGAGAGCTGGGCCGGAGATGATCCAGCCCAGCGACGTTAGTTGCGCGACGGGCGAGTGTGACGGGCCCCGGCGGATCGCGTCGCGAAGCAGGGCCCCGTAAATATCGGCACCGAGCACGAGATCGATCCGACCTGGCGTCGAGAAAGTCGGATCGGCGAGTTCGAGGCCGCCGAGGTGCGTCCAGGAATCGGCGCGCACCCGCGTTGCTGGGATGCGGCTGGTGAGTCTTGGTAACACGTACGCGTTCACTACGTGTTTCGCGGTAGTGCTCGAGCGCGAATGCATTACGAGCGAGATCATTCCGCGCGTTGATCCTGCTGACTGCGAGCCGATACCGCGCACCGGAATCGCGGCATGTCGGCGCGGAAGGCACAAGGCTTGCGCGAGGGACTCCGCCACGAAGGTGAGCTCAGAGCCCTGATCGAGTAACGCGCGCGCTTCCACGAGCTCACCAATCGGCAGCGACGCGAACACGCGCGGTAGCCAGAAGCGTCGTCGGCCGGTGCACTTCCGGCGCGAGAGTTGCTGAATGCGAGAGAGCCGAGCCCGCCGCCGGTGCGGCGGGCTGCGGAACCGAAGATTGCGAGGCGTTGGTCGGTCGGAGTTGACCAACGTGCGAGGGTGGCTGCGTAGCCACTGCAGGCGATGAAGTTGCTGAATGGATGAGAGTGTGATGCCGTTCTCCACACGTCCGACAGCACTTTACTGTACGGCAATCGGCGATGAGGTGTTCGCCTAGGCAATTGAAGCAGAGGCGCTTCGTTTTGACGAACTCACGTCGGTCCTCCAGCGACTTCTTCGCGAAGTCCGGGCAGGATCCGATGTAGTGCGATGCGCTGCAGAGAGAGCACCGATTCGCTTTCGTTGTGGCGGCGTTTGCGCGTACTGAGGTCTTCCCCTTGGAGGCGGGCGACTTGGCTGCTTCAGGCTTGGAGTTCGACGACGAAGGCGCTCCGACGAGTTCCAGGGCGCGAATACATCCGTCAAGGAACGTCTGGAGCTCCGGAAACAAGGCTGGTTCGGTAGCGTTGCCGAGTTGAAGCTCCCATGCTTCTAGAGTGTCGTGATCAAGGCGGCGCGCTACGAAGTAGGCGAGGAACATGTTCCACGCGTCCTCCTGCGAAATCGAGAGCGCGTCGAGATTACCTATCACCTCGCAGGTCGTTGCGAGCAGAGACTTCAGTCCCTCCGCTGATTTCGTGGACATCTTCTTGAGCTCGGTGAGGCGATCAAAGCAGGAGGCAAGCAGCATGCGTTTATTGTCGTAGCGTGCAAGAAGAGCGTCCCAATCTGTTGTGAAATTCTCGGCAGTTACGGCAATGTTCGCGAGCAATCGCGAAGCCTCCCCGGTAACGTGACTCTTCAGGTAATGAAGACGTTCGACGGCGGAGATGTCCGAGTTGTCGATGACCATGGAAGAGAAGAGGTCGTGGAACGTCCTCCACTCATGGTAGTCGCCTGAAAACTTCGGCAGCGTGCGGGTGCTGCGCGGTGTCGGTGTGGTTGCTGCAACGCTGAGCGCAGTTGATGCAGCCGGGAATTCGTCCTTCATCTGCAGGAGCTCGGTTCGAGCGAGGCAGAACTGTTCCTCGCACTGCGAGTAGAGATCCTCCGTAAAGTACGACTGCTTCTTCTGTTCGCTCGTCACAGCAGCCAGTATCGTGTCGTGAGCGGAGACGAATTTCTCCCAATGTCCTTCAAGGAGATGCAGACGCGTGTCGATCGCATGGCGGCTGATATTCTCCTTGCCGCTACGCTTGAGATTCTCGACGGTGCGAGCAATTCGCCCGAACAGCTCGTGCTGACGATCGAGATAGGCAGTAATGGAAGTCATTGTCTTACCTAGCGAGAGCCGAGAACTCGAGGAGAAGACGAAGTACTCGATGTGGCTCAGCGACGCGTCGAGATCGAGAAAGGTGCCGAGGTTGTGGCCGAATTCAAGCGATGCGGAAGGTCACTCAGGCACTTTGATAACCGGCGACGAAAAGGCGGCGAGTCGACACTTCGAGACACGGCAGCGAAAGGTGACTATCCGGCACGTGAGAGACGGCGACGGAATGACGGCGTTCCGGTGAACAATGACGTACCGAAACGAAATGACCGCGAAAGTCGAAGCAGATAGATTCGCACTCGCGAGAGGTAGATTCGGCGTGCCTGCACGGCATTCACACCGGACGGCACGGAACTCACAGTACACGATGTGTAGCGCGATTAACAGAGGGTGCGAGGTAGATTGCGCGAGCGGTCCGATCAAGGGTCAGCGATGTCCGGAGGTTCGAGAGATATCCGGCTCGAAGGACCAGAAAATGTTGCGAGCAGTAACGGAATTGGTCAAGTGAAAGAAAGATGGAAAATGTAGGGTTCGAAGGACCAGCGCGAATGCGCGAGATAGATTGTCGATCTTCTATTGCAAGAGATAGAGTAGCGACGGAAAGGAAATTAGTGAATAGCGAATTGGATCTAGGGATAGCCGAACGATCGCTAGACGTGACGAGACGTGACTGACTTCCGACCGGTACGCGAGCGGATCCGCGACCATTGGTCGTCATAATTCGGCAATATTCGGAAGTGTTGAAAAGGAATAACAGCCCAAGTGATGGATAGAGATCGCGCTCGCAATCACGCCATAAACACGTGCGGCGACGACCTTCGATACGGTATCGAAGGCTCTGGAATTCGGTGTCTCGCACCGTTACAAACACCCGAATACGCGCGGATTCGTGAGAACAATATTCGGAGCTATATTCGGTATCAATTATTTGCGTTAACACAACCTGTTAGCGATTCTCTTTTGGGAGAGCTCGCTGGACCGCTGCGGTTGGAAGCAGGGCTGAGAGGACTTTTGCGACGAGAGACTCGGGGAACGGATGCACGCGTGGGGGGGGGGGGTGGAATATCACGTGATCGAACACTCTGGGCGTTTGAGTAAAATACCGTGGTCTGTTTAATAAATGTAAAAAGCTTACAGTTTGAGCAGTCTATGATTAAACGGGGATGATCAGTCTCGTAGTCACTTGCACGGGTCGATTATATTAATCGAGAGTCGGCCTCGTGAATGTAGATGCCCGTGAGCCGTGTCCACGCGGCGCCGGCGTGCGATGCGTGGTGAGCTTGAGCTGCCGTTGATGCTGTATCTAAAATGTCCTGGATGATTTGCACTGCTGAGAGTTCACTGCGTGTCCGCACTGAGTCTATTCTTCGATGAGAAAATGAGAACGTCCACAAAAGAGCACTTGAGAACTATCCGCACTTCAAGACGCGTGTACTACGTACGGTCGCTATGAGACAAAGAGCGCCGGTAACGTACGTGAAGTCGCGTAGTCGCCTCGCGTCGCGATCGGGCATGCGCGGGCAGCGCTCATGCGGCGCTGCACGATCTGACCCGGCTGATGCTGCCATCACGCCGGGGATGAAATAAACGAGATTCAAATTAATCTCGAACACAACCGGATTAGTAAAATTTAAAGAAACCGTTGGTGAAAATTTTAAGTGCATATACATACATACCATTCGAATTTTTTTAAAACCGTTTTTAATACAATCTTCATCTTCGGAAGTTGTCTCCAGATCTATATTTTTTCGTTTTAGCAACTTTTTATCGCTTTTTGATGGGTTTGGAATTTCAAATTTTAATACGTTATCGCACTGCTTACACATTTCTGTCCATTCTAATAATTATAAATATGATTTGAAAATAAACATTAAAATAACATTGAAAATAATTTGTACATTTGTATTTGTGCATACCCTGCTGGAAAGAAGTTGAAAATATCTTTGAAAATGTCGTGAAATCAAAACCGTTTTCAGAAAAGTTTTAAAGAAATATTATATCTGACAAATGAAGATTTTTACTTATTAATTTTTAAACAATTTCAGAGATTTTGTAGGGGTAACCTCCTTTTGGACACGTAACTATTGGACACCGCTCGATTGGACACGCACTATTGGACACCGCATTTTTCGACACTGCAATAATGCAGTGTCAACAAATGCGGTGTCCAATCGAGCGGTGTCCAATCGTTACGTGTCCAAACGGGATACACCCTTTTGTAGAAAATTATCGAAATTTTCAGACATTTTTCTCTAAAATGTCTTACAGTTCTCTACAAACGGTTTCAATTGCAGTGTATTTTCAAAGAAATTTGCAATATAGATTATTAGTTGGTATGAAAACTTACCTCCAAACGATAAAATATGCACAACATGGGATTTCCAGGAGCAATTTCGTATTTTCTTGTGCATTTTTTATGCTGGAACTATTTCGCAATTTACGGGCCATTTTACTACTTCTTCTTTTCCATTGATAACTTTTTGTACTGCTTCTTCATTTCGTAACGTCTCATTTTCAAGCCATGTCAAATAGCCTACCGCGATTTTAAAATCCTCGTTAATGAATTCTATTAATATGCATTCACTATCTTTCATTTTTAATGATAAAATATTCTGTTTTTTAATGGTTAAGTGGCAGAACGTCGAGGCGGGAGAGCAAGCGAAGAATGTAGGATACTCCACAGGATATTCCACAGGCGTACAAAGCCAAAGTAACAACAGTATACGTAAAATAAAACATTAACTTGTCACGGACTTCTATAGAGCACACGATCGTTCTTTATGGCGATTCCTCTGCAAAAGCGATTGTGCCGGCAGGTCGATATCACGTGATTCACGTTAATAAGAGAAGTGGCACACATAACCAGCAAAGGCCAATAATCGATGCTGGATCGGATCAGCAGCCAATCCGAGCGTTCAAGAAAAGCAGCGACCAATAATCCATGAGAAGGAAATGCGCGCGCACCACTGCAGCAGCGCAGTGATGCCAGACGAGAACGTTTACCCACTTGGAGCCGTATATACGTGTGCACACGTATTTACGGCGCGTTGCTTGTGTGCGAGAGTGCGCGCGCGCGTGGCCAAACGGACTATCCCCACTCTAACCCCCACCACCGCTACAGCATGTGGGCAAACGTTCTCGTCTGGCATCAGTGCAGCAGCGTCTTTTTCATCGATACATTTTTTTACTGCTCTTTTATTTCGTACGTCTCATTTTCAAGCCATGACAAGTAACCTACCGCGATTTTATAATCCTCGTTAATAAGAAGCACTCTTTCATTTTAAATGATTAAAGTATACTGCTCTGTAAGCGCAGCGAACGTGCAGACCACCACACCGTAAACAAGGAGAGTAATATGTACGTATATAATATTAAAAATTGGAGACTAAAGCAATCCCTTGACTATTGTTGTTCAACCTGAATGTAAATCACGATGTAATCACAGAAGACACGCTGACAAACAATGAGTGTTTATAAAAGAGGACCGTATAAACGATATTTATATGAAGAACATAACCCTGAAATACCAGCATCAACAGCACTTTCTCGAAAAAGAAAACATGATCATGTAAGTATTTTTCAATCATCCGTCAATTAATTTAATTACTTACAAGTAATGAATAATTTACATTGATTATGTACAAACATATCTGTATACGAGCCAAATTTTTTGCTGAAATTTCTCTGGAACTTTTGATACTTTTATTTTACATTGCCACCTAGGGTTTATGTATTTTGTGTATAACTACTTCAATTTGTTTGTGTTTGCACAGAGTCAAGAAACTATTTGTTCGGATAAGAACACAAAATGTTCAAAGTTGTTCCGAATAGAGGAGGTCAATGTAGCTGGAAGTAGCAATGAAGTGATAAATGAAGTCGTAACACCTATACTTTCATCTGAGAAAAATTTCGATTCCGAGACCTTTCAAAGCAACGATGGAAATGACGTTTTATCATGCTTAATTCATAAGAAAAATTATAGTTCGTCATGTACAAATAACTCATCAGAATACGAAATTGATTTGGATTCTGACATGGAATATGAGGAAAACTCTATTGATAATGAAGATAACAATACTGTTATTGATAATGCCGATGATCAAGATCCACACATGGTGCAGGTAATATACATGCTCGATGGACAACTACTCAAAACCATGCTTTAATCCATGAAGCCTGTATAAGGAGACCGAACTTCCGTAATCAGAGTGAGCCGACATTTTTGAAAAATATTCGTTCCGAAAAGAGTCACTGTGGGTGCGTTCTTTTAGGCATCGGATACAGTAGTTTTAGCAGTAATTCATTCTTTTAGCACGACTGCGCAGTCGACTGCAGCGCAGATTTTCATTCTTTTAGCAATGGATGCACAGTGGATACGCAGACGATTAGAATTAGCTGCGCAACCGACTGCAGATAGCTGCATAATAAAAAGAGCGGGCAAGTATAAAAATGTGCGACGAAAATATATATTTTTATGTGGGAGAATCGTCGTCGGGTAAAAAACAAATATTTACCGTCGACGCGTCGGAAGTACAAAAGTTTTCGAATTGTAAGTTTTGAATTGCAAATGTAATTTTACTGTATGCAGATTTTATATATAGGATTACTTTTCTTTTATTCTTTTGTTCCAGCTAATGTAAAGGATGTACAAACTTCTGTTGCTATGAAAAATCTTGCTGAAAAATCAATTTTATTAAAGCCTGCAGGTATATATTTATAATATGGTTTTAAATTTTATTTATAATTTTAGGTTATGAAATTTTAAAAATAAACTTAATTGTTTTACTTTGAGTGCCCATACAACACTGATTTCCCAGGAACATTCTAAAGACGTTCTGAGAACATCCTTACGTCCTAAAGATGTTTTCAGATGCCTTGGAATAAAGTGTGATGCGTGGGTGATGACAAATGTACTTTTTCAATTATGCCTTATTTGATTAAAATATTAACGGAATTATACATTTATATGCAAAATACATAAGGTTTTGGTGCATTAAGATATA